CGACGAAACGACGACGACGAGCGACTTATTATCGGTCAATCATCGGAAAAACCTCGAGCGTTGCGACTGTTTGCGAAAGGTCTCGAAGTCGTTACGAAAAAAAACGATAGGGAGGGATAGACAGGCATGCTGGTGCACACATCGATCCATCACGTGACCAGTGTTTCATACCTTGTCACAGACTTGTTTGTATCCCGCGAGGCACGGGACGTGACGTAATACCACAGGTAATCCGCATTTCACTAAGAGCGCGCGCCGATACTAGTACTAGCGATACCATAGGCTACCCAACTATTGCTTGAGAGAAAGAAAAGAATGAATGCGCACGCTTTTATATTATGTTATCGAATCGGCGTGCGCTGTGGGTTTAGGCATAGGCTACCCAACTATTGCTTGAGAGAAAGAAAAGAATGAATGCGCACGCTTTTATATTATGTTATCGAATCGGCGCGGGCGGTGGGTTACCTGTGGTAAGATCCAAGCCCCATGTAAACTCCATGAGCTCCCACACACATCATAACAAACATCATATATAACAATGATACTTGGGCTTTAAAAAATCAGATCCTCCCCTGGAGAGGTTTGCACTTTTCAAAATACCATTTTATGCCTGTAGTACCTTATCCCCTCTATTAAGAAAAGTATACCATCAAATTAGTTCGTTAGACTTTTGTGAACGTTTTCATCAACTTGAAAATGACACACTTCATGTCTTATCTGGAAGCATGAAGGAATTTTCAGCAAATTAAAAACCAAAGTTGGAGGAGCAAGGATACATAAATACTACATTGCTGTTCATATTATGTAAATAAAGTATAGTGTAACTTAGTGTAACCTTTACCTCAACAAGCTGATCATTCCTAGATTTTGCTTTTAAGAAATCAACTTTTGTAGCTTTTTGCTGTTTTTCTTTTTTCTCATAGACAGCTGACGTATTTACGAGCAACATCTCCCTCTTAGCAAGCCTAGGAATACATCAAGTACGTAATGTATATAAAATCAGGCTCATAAAGGTAAAAATTATAAACCGTTTAAAAAAACAATGGTCTCTATATAAGCTCAAGGTTCTCGCGGGACTCTCGTTGTGTTCCTTGATTTATACTTACAACTCTTCATGTTCAKAATTCAACTTCATTTCTTCACTAAGCCACTGTAAGTGCTTGTCTTTTTTCAAAGATACTTCCATTATATTGGTAGTGACAGCTAACTAAATATCACTCGGATGCCATTTTGAACATCTTACGATGGGAGACTGGGTACAAGTAATCACTAGGGACTCCATGACAAAGGGAGGGGGTTGGTCCCGCATAATTATGATGAGAATTCCTACTTCTATTTTCCGATACATTTCTTTAGAAAAATCAATATTTTACATTTGCTTTCATTTTTGAAGTATTTAGATTTGAGACGCGAGACTTTGCCATTTTACCAACATAAACCTGCTCTTTCTATTTCTGAACATCATTTGATAGCCAATTGATTTAAGGTAGGTGTGGTCACGTGACCCCTAGCTGCAAAGGGCCTATTCCTATTTCACAGACAGATAAAAATGACTCTATTTGTCTACTGTTCTACTGGACATCTTTGTTGTTGTTTCTTTTTTTGCCCATCTGTTATTTAGACAAATTGCAATCTTGGTTCTTTAATACATTAGGATTTTGAGCTAGTAGTGATCAATCACAAACCAGTGCAATT